TGAACATCGCTCGTTCCTCCATTTGGGCAGGGAGAAACGAATGAGGGGGGAAAAAAAGCAAAAACACTATTCAAAAAACGAAAAACAAACACGGGTAGAAGGGGCGCTGCTTACTGTCACGGTCTGCTGTTCTGTCACACTACACTCGGGGAGGATTGGAACGAGGAACGAGGAGACGCTGGAGAACACTTCGACATGGAATTTAATAGAATGAGCAACAGGGAAAACACAGGAACTCATGGAAGACATTTAATTGAATCAAGGGAACCAGGAAGACACACGTAGCAGAAGACATCAACAAGTAGAACCGACAAAAACTAACTGAAAGGACTGGGGCTTTTAAACACAGGATAACGAGGGACTAAGGAGACACACATGGAATCAAATTAACAATTAATGAAACACAGCTGGACACAAATGATAACCAATGAGGACAGGACACAGGAAGAACCAAATAAGGGCAAACCGGAACATACACGTGACACTTACAGTTTGTCTTTGTTTTTTAGTATGCTTCAGAAGATGCAAGACAACGAGAGTGAATGTATATGGCATGTGTATGTTATTGAAACAGCCATTTTCAATAGCAGATTTTATTTTTTTATTTTTTTTAAAAAGGAAAAAATTTAATGGAGATGCAATAAGAAATTAAACTTGGAATTGATTGTATTTAAAGATGCTTGGGATTAAAATTGGAAGACGTGTAAATATTGAATTAATTATCCTCAGTTTTTGACCTTAATAAGTCTCAAAGTTCCTTGTAAGTGCATCTGGCTGCTGGACTCCATCTCCGGTTTAAATGTGTGTTTTGATTTGTTTTTATGATTTCTCAAATTACCTGAAAGTGAATCTATCTCAAAATGGCTTAGAAGCAGCGTTATATAAAAAACTAACTATTTGAAGGCATATCTGGTGTTAGCACGAAGAGCTTCTACAAGTGCTGTGTGTGTTCAACTCACTGAAGCACCTCGATCTGTCTCTCCAGGTTCCCTCTCTCCTCGGAGAAGCACTTCATAAGAGCCTCATCTCTGTACAAACACACAGATCGACATATTTAGGATGAACCTAAATATTAACCTTAGGGTTATCCTTAACATATAGGATCATGGTATCTAAAATATGGTCATGCAGAATAAGGCATTAACATGCGTTTAACAAGTACTAATAAACAGCCAATATTCTAGTAATATGCATGCTAATAAGCAACAAGTTAATAGTCAGAATTGGTCCCTATACTAAAGTGTTACCAGTTTCATCTATCTTAAGCAGCTTTTTCTACTGTTCGAATCTGTCATAGCTTTCGTTGGTTTCACCTAATGTCCTCAGGTTGATGATCAGTCATTAAATATTTGGGTAACCTGACAACATTTTTACACCATAACACTCATTATACTAATGCTGGGACACTCACACACAGGTAAACTGCACTCTGTTTTGCAGTTACTAGGTGACAAGGTTCAGACATTCCTGTGCAGTGTGACGCGTGACACCAGGATATCCTGCTCGGATGATGTCAGCACTGCAAACACTCACAAAACTGGTTTACAGCTGCTCACAGTCATCATGCAGGGAAATTGACACATTATTGACATTACACATCCAGCTGGGAGTGTCAGACTGAGTCAGAAGATACAGTCTGTGTTACTTCAGAGTACATATTTGATGGACTTTTTAGAAATTCCTGGTCTGAAGATCTGAATCCAAAGGGTTATCACATATTCATCAATAACTAAGGCCCAATCCCAATTCTACCCCTTAGCCCTTCCCCTTTCCCCTTTCGCGCGTTCACGTGAAGGGGTAGGGGTGTCTCGATTCTCTTTTGGTCGGAGGGGTAGGGGTAAGGGGAAGGGCCAGACAGCCCTTCAAATATAAGTCTCAAAGTTCCTTGTAAGTGCATCTGGCTGCTGGACTCCATCTCCGGTTTAAATGTGTGTTTTGATTTGTTTTTATGATTTCTCAAATTACCTGAAAGTGAATCTATCTCAAAATGGCTTAGAAGCAGCGTTATATAAAAAACTAACTATTTGAAGGCATATCTGGTGTTAGCACGAAGAGCTTCTACAAGTGCTGTGTGTGTTCAACTCACTGAAGCACCTCGATCTGTCTCTCCAGGTTCCCTCTCTCCTCAGAGAAGCACTTCATAAGAGCCTCATCTCTGTACAAACACACAGATCGACATATTTAGGATGAACCTAAATATTAACCTTAGGGTTATCCTTAACATATAGGATCATGGTATCTAAAATATGGTCATGCAGAATAAGGCATTAACATGCGTTTAACAAGTACTAATAAACAGCCAATATTCTAGTAATATGCATGCTAATAAGCAACAAGTTAATAGTCAGAATTGGTCCCTATACTAAAGTGTTACCAGTTTCATCTATCTTAAGCAGCTTTTTCTACTGTTCGAATCTGTCATAGCTTTCGTTGGTTTCACCTAATGTCCTCAGGTTGATGATCAGTCATTAAATATTTGGGTAACCTGAAAACATTTTTACACCATAACACTCATTATACTAATGCTGGGACACTCACACACAGGTAAACTGCACTCTGTTTTGTAGTTACTAGGTGACAAGGTTCAGACATTCCTGTGCAGTGTGACGCGTGACACCAGGATATCCTGCTCGGATGATGTCAGCACTGCAAACACTCACAAAACTGGTTTACAGCTGCTCACAGTCATCATGCAGGGAAATTGACACATTATTGACATTACACATCCAGCTGGGAGTGTCAGACTGAGTCAGAAGATACAGTCTGTGTTACTTCAGAGTACATATTTGATGGACTTTTTAGAAATTCCTGGTCTGAAGATCTGAATCCAAAGGGTTATCACATATTCATCAATAACTAAGGCCCAATCCCAATTCTACCCCTTAGCCCTTCCCCTTTCCCCTTTCGCGCGTTCACGTGAAGGGGTAGGGGTGTCTCGATTCTCTTTTGGTCGGAGGGGTAGGGGTAAGGGGAAGGGCCAGACAGCCCTTCAAATGAAGATTTTTCGGGACCACACTTCAAATGAAGGGGTATGAATTATCTCAGCGTAAACCTGCTTCAGCGGCAACATGGCTGCCCAAGCGAACAAAAAGACACATAAATGTAAGCATTTTTTGGCATTAATAAAGATTTTAACAAAAAGTAATCATTTGTTTTATGTTACTTTCAACCGTGAGTTCGTATTTACGGTCATGTTACTCAAATAAATGTTTGCAAAAAATCGCTAAAGCTTGCTAACGTCATTTCATTACAGACTGCACAATAGTGCCACAACATATTTTCATGTCTGATCAGGGCGATAACCAACGTAGACATTGAGGGGGGCTAGTCCCCCCAATAATTATAAATTGCTAAACCCTTTTCTCAAATATTGCCAATTCGAGAGATGAAAGTTGCGTGTATGCGAGTCAAAAACAGCAATTTTATCCTCTTGTTGCTGGAAAATATAATGTAGCGATTCAGTATTTAAACTGTTATTAACGTCTGTGCATCTCTCTTTTTAGAGTGAGTATACTTCAAAAACAGCAATTTTATCCTCTTGTTGCTGGAAAATATAATGTAGCGATTCAGTATTTAAACTGTTATTAATAAAAGTCGTGGGGCAGCGTTGACAAGTCTCTTTGCCCCTGGATGTGTGAGCTGCGCGATCTCTGATATGTGTGTGTGTGTGTCAGTAAGCAGCGCATTAATATAGAACGGTAATTAAAGACTCTAATGCACACCAGCACACCAGTATAGGTGTGTGTATTGTAGGAGCTAGACGACGTATGATGACGTGTAACGGCATAGTAGTGGTGTCCCAATTCTTAGGGGAATATTTTCACCCCTACCCCTTGACACTCTGTTTCAAGGGACAAGGGGAAGGGGTAGGCGGAGGGGTAGGGGAAGGGGAAGGGGTATAAAATAGAATTGGGATTGGGCCTAAGTCAACTGTGACACACACACACACACACACACACACACCGTTCAAAGTTGATGCTTTGGTCTGTGAGATCACTCTTAAGGGAGTCCAGCTCACTCTGCAAGAACGCAATATTAGTGTGGGACTCCAAAAGCTCCTGTTTCAACTTCTGGTTTTGCTGAAAGAGGGACACAAGACAAAAACGCATGATATAATATCATACACAATTTCAATGGTCTACAGGTTCATAAAGGAGTCATACCAGCAATAGCTCATTGCTCTGTCGTTTCAGTGCTGAGGTTTCCTCTTTGAGGCTGATACTCCTGTTTTGGTTTTCGATCTAAAATAATAATTAAAAAAAATACATCTTTTTTTTTAAATAGCGCTTTATACAATACAGATTGTTTCAAAGCAGCTTCACAGTAATAAATAAGAAAATAACAGTGTGTCAATGTTGCAAAATTCATCGATTCTGAAACAAATGTAATTTTAGCTATAAAGAATAGTGTCATTTTTCAGCCTTAATTTAGTTCAGTGTTCAATTTAGTTCATTAAGTGTCAATGTCGCAAGTTCATCAATTATGAAATAAATCAGTTCAACTATAAAGCAGCTCCACAGAAGACAACAGTGTCAATATTCGGCTTAAGTCAGTTCAGTGTTAATTCAGTTCAGTTCAATAACAGTGTCAATGTTCATCAATTATTAAACAAGTTCAGTTTGGCTATAAGCAGCTCTACAGAAGACAATAACATTATTATTGAGCTAAAGTCAGTTGATGTTGCAGAGCTCATCACTTATGAAACTAATTTGATTCAGCTTTTAAGCAGCTTTGCAGAAGATAATAGTGTCCTTATTTAGCTTGAATAAGTTCAGTAACTGTGTCATTGCTGCAAAGTTCATCAGTTATGAAACAGCTTCAAATGCAGCTCTACAGAAGACAACAGTGTCCTTATTTAGCTCCAGTCAATTCAGTATGAGTGCACTCAAATAATAACATTACTGAATATTAATTGTTTTTTAAACCCCATCTTTCTAAACCAACTTTTATATCTACAAATCTATATAAGCTCATTGTTATTATAAATCAGGAGTGAGTCACCATCTGCAGAGTCTGTATCTTCTGCTGAAGTTCGCATATCTGAGACTCATACTGGTGTTTCATGCTGCTCAGAGTCGCCTCAGCTTTTTTAGACTCCTATAAAAGAACAGAGTCCATACACTGGTGTTAAACATTATAAATCTTGACATTTTATAACATTTATAAAACAAAAAAGGACTAAAATGGTAAAATCATGGGTGAAAACTGAAAAGAAAAGATAAAATATGATAAAAAAATAATGCGATAAAAATAATGTAAAAATTCCAAATGTGTTGTGATAAGCTGAAATGATGACTGCATGGTTGCAAACAAGTCAAAATAGATATTTTTTAATATTAAATATTAAAATGAGACACCTAAAAAGCTCTGTACAGAAGATACTTTATAAAGCATTAGATCAAGACAATTAAGGTAACAAAAGGTTTAGGAATGTCAGTGCACTAATGGATACAAATGCTTTTTACTTTTCACAGGAACTTGAACAGGTGTTGTTGAACAAACAGTCAGTTCATTTCACATTACATAATGTGACAAGTCGTGGAACACGGGTCTGAGATAAGGAACAGCGTAAGGAACAAGAACAAACGCAAGACTGTCTGCACTAAAATGTGATGTCACGGATAAATTAAGCCTTGAATGGGATCCAAGACTCTCACATGATTGGCTGGATCCCAGATCACAGCAAACAACTGTGCCAGTTCACTTACAGCTGCCTATATCAACTCCTAACTCACAATAAACAGAGCGCTGTATCCATAGAAACAATATGAATACAAGCACTGAAGTAATATATAATCAATTACAGTTTTCATCTTTGATTACAGTGACAATGAAAAAGAAAATTTCTGAACTGAGGGATGCCTGCAAAAAAACATTAAAATGTTTGGTATTTCATATCAGCACAGTCCCTTTAAGATAAACATGCACTACAAATCATACTTAGAAAGGTGCCATTTATTTTATTTATTATTTTGAAGAAGTTTTAATTTATTTTAAGAATAATAAAGTTTCAGCATACTGCATCTAACTGGATTACGCAATGAATTGTCAAAATAATATGAAGTCGTTTCGTTATAAATGCCTTGTTGTGTGTTTGATCACAATAAAGAATAATATTATGTAATCAATAGTGTTGCACAGTAACAGTAGTATTAAATGTGATGAATAATGTGATTTATCATTATGGTAAAGAGCCATAAGATCTATACCACACCTGTTCTATAAAATAAACATTTTGCATACTGCATTTATATTCAGTTTATGAGCTCCAGATGCTCAGTACATAAGAGAATATCAAGTGCTGTCACAGACGTTTATGACGGATGGTATTTACAGTGCAAATAGTTTCTCTTAATGATGGGTCATGGGTGGGTAATTTGGGTACTTTTTCTGCCTTAACTGAAAGTGAAATGAGATTTCAGTGTGTGTGTGTGTGTGGAGATACTGCGACATAGAAATGGTCATGTTTTCAAGTAAAACAAATTAAAATAATACAAATCTAAACATGCATAAAACAAGAAACAAATTAGAGAGAGAATATAGCTAGAATTACGTTTTTTTCTTGAGCTCATCAGTGAATTTGCAAAAAAACAAATAAAGAAAGAAATAAAGTAAATTATGCTTAATAATAAATATAAATAAAAAAACACACATATACAGCACACACACACAAGTTTTTTTTTTTTTGAAAAGTGGGGACATCCCATAGGCGTAATGGTTTTTCTACTGTACAGACCGTATATTCTATTGCCCTACACTAACCCTACCCCTAAACCTACCCCTCACAGGAAACTTTGTGCTATTTCAGATTTTCAATACACTCCATTCTGTGTGATTTATAAGCGTTTTGAAAAGTGGGGACATGGGGTAATGTCCTGAAAAGTCACCTTCTCCTTGTAATACCTGTCATACCTTTGTCATTATACAAATTTATGTCCTCATTTGTCACAAAAACGCACACACACACACACACTTTTCAAGTAAATGCATATTTTTTATGTATATATGTATATTACTCCTGATGTTAAATTAGGCAAATCTTGTGTTTGTCTCCTGACCTGTAGACGTGTGTTTCTCTCTGCGGTGTGGATGCGGTGATCCATCTCTTCCTCCATCTCACTCAGCTGTATAGCCGTCTGATCCTGAGCTCTGAACAAACAGCAGCAGAACACACATTGGCCGTCACATATGCAGTAATACACAATTCTCTTACTTTCTTCCATTGAACAAAAAACGGAAGAATGGTTTCTTGAAGAATGTTGGTAACCAAACCGTTTTGGTTACCATTGACTTCCATTGCATGGACAGAAAAAAAAAATATATATATACAGGTTTGGTTCACAATATATGATAATATAGCACTATTCAGATGGGATTAGTTTTACAAGGGTAGATGAAGTAATGTAATTTTACCACATTATATATACTATAATATTAATGGCCAATTCACATGGTATAAGAAATCTCAGTTACAGAAGTTTCGTGCCTCTAACAAGTGCTTTCGACCTTCTTTTTGATTTGAATGTTATGCGTCGTTGTATGCAGAAAACAACGGAAGAATGGTTTCTTGAAGAATGTTGGTAACCAAACAGTTTTGGTTACCATTGACTTCCATTGCATGGACAGAAAAAAAAAAATATATATATACAGGTTTGGTTCACAATATATGATAATATAGCACTATTCAGATGGGATTAGTTTTACAAGGGTAGATGAAGTAATGTAATTTTACCACATTATATATACTATAATATTAATGGCCAATTCACATGGTATAAGAAATCTCAGTTACAGAAGTTTCGTGCCTCTAACAAGTGCTTTCGACCTTCTTTTTGATTTGAATGTTATGCGTCGTTGTATGCAGAAAACACTTGAGGTTTACCACAAACTTGTCCCACCGCCTAGAATGTAATCTTCGTAATCTTCACTGGCATTGTCTGTATGATGATTACTGAGATGGCACATTCGAACTGGACTACAATCACTGAGAAGCTCTGGTAATACCATATTGGCTCGAATATAAGACGACCCTGATTATAAGACGACCCCCCCTTTTTCCAGATGTACCTTTTGGAAAAAGGCTTTTTAAAAAACAACTTTTGTTTTTTCTCAGTAAAACAAATTTTGTCTTCAATTATTTTCATATTGCATATTTTTCCTATTTTAATTTTTGTTTTGAAAGTATGGTAAAAACTGGTCAAATGTACCAACAATCACATTTAAAAAATATACACTTTTTGATATACCATTAAAAAACAAAACAAAACAAAAAAACAGGTAGCCCATCTGAATTAGGACATTTAGGCTATCCATCTAATAGTAGCCTACCAAAATCTTATTAACAGTAGAAGTTAAATCTACTGTAGTCTTCAAATCTGGGTTTTACGTTTTACGTCAAGTCTTACGTTTTAAAATCACAAAGGGAGTTTGGTCCCATCAGGCTAACGTGACAGTCACGACTCATGCAGCTGTAAGGTTTTCTTTTTCTTTTGTTTTTACTCGCGATCTTTACAACACGCATTACATTACGTATTTCATGGCACACTCGTTTTATGCGTATTTGGCGCCACCTATTGTTGTGGGTGTATTATTGACATGTCTCATTATTGACATAAGTTCTCTTTTTAAGTTATTCGTGTGTTCAAGGCCAAAGAATGTCATATAGATAACAATCTATGTACTGTTCTTTTAAAGAGGTCATATGATGCGTTTGCATGTTTTCCTTTTACTTTAGTGTGTTTTGTAGCTGTTTGTGCATGTATAAGATCTGCAAAGATACAGAGCTCAAAGTCTCCCACAAAAGGAATTTTTCTGTCTAGACGAGAAGGCTGATCCAGACCACCCGAAAACACCTCACATATCTATGTCACTATGTGGAAATATTTGCATAATACCACCCAAATGGATACGCAAAGCAAGAAGGCGTGGTTTCAGGTATGGCAGTAGTGTTGTTGCCGCCATGCCGTGGAGATGCTTTGTGTTTCTATGCGGAAGCAAAAGCACTTTTTTTGGTCTTTCCGAAAGTGGACGCAATTAGGAGTCAGTGGTTAACATTTATTTACAACACTGTTCCAGAACAGTACAACCCGAATGTTCCGAGTGTGTGCAGCAAAGTTTCCTGAACCTGGGAGAGTACAAGGCTGGCTGTGCAGAAAGGCTGTTTCTAAAATATGGGGCAATTCCAACTTTGCTCTGACAATCTGGCGCTTCTGAATCAGAGCCCGTAAGTATGTTTTATAATGTGCTATTGACTGTTCAAATGCAGAGTTTGGTGAAGTGTAGAGTAATGCTTACTGTTTGTCGTTCTTACGATCACAAGTGCAGACAGAGATGGATTTATGTTTACAAATGTAGTATCCTCTGTTCTCTGAATATAACTGGCGGCGGAAAGACGACACACATGATTCACTACATGTTCTGCGCCACACTGGACGCTCAAGTAGAGCCTGTTGTGATATAGTAAAACTGACGGCATTATTAACTGTTCTTATCATTGCTTTGGAAGCTAAAGCTCACGATTATGGTAAGGGGCATTACATTTCCAACACACGCTTGAGATGTTCAGCCAATCACAATGCACTGGGTCAGCTGGCCAATCAGAGCACACTGTGCTTTTAGAAGGAGGGGCTTTGTAGAAATCGATGCGTTTTAGAAAGATTGTGCATAGAGGATCTGCAATAATGAACAGTATGTGAAAAATAATGACATTTTTGAAAATTAAAGCTAACATATTCTATTACACCCAATACACAAAATAATGAGCTTGGAAAATAGCATCATATGACCCTTTTAATGACCCAGAAATCAACATTTTTTGTAATCCTATAATCAATACAAAAAAGTAGCTGTAGTCTGATTATGAGTATTTTAAAAAGTAATGTAATCTAATTACAATTTTAGGAATCTGATTACATAATCCAGATTACGTGTAATCGGTTACTACCAGAGAGCAACTCAAGAACCCTAAACAACCAAAAACGGTTCTTGATACAAAGATGCTGCAAGGAATTTCTGAAGAAACTAAAGATTTTAACTCCACCCAGATTCTAAACTCCTGTATGGAAAGAACGGTGAACAAAACATGGTGGCCACATGAGTATGTATGTACTGTATGTGCATGAGTTTGTTTACCTCTTTACAGCAAGTGCCAGATGTTCCATTTCTGTGTTCAGTATTCGGATCTCTTTGATGAAACTGAGAAGAACTCTTTCATACTGAGGGACGATTCTGGGCTCCGTCAAACTGATGTTCTGGTACAGGGTTGATACCTGGTCAATCCTACACACATAAAAACAACACCAAGCCATTAAAACACACCCATTAATGTTGATTAGAACAGAAACACGATTAAATAAAGCAGGGCTCAGTTTAAGGACAATCATATGTTTACAGACATTATTCAATCCAATGGAGTTTAGTACAGCACTAGCATGACCTGAAAAAGATGGTGCCAGGTTGTGAATAACTGCATGCGTCTGAGCCTCATGACTTTGCCGTTCTCTTTCATGAAGTAGCACTTGTGTCATCAAATGCTATGGCAGATGAGTGAAATAAGAGAGGTATTGATAGTCTATGACTAATCAATGTTCTGTCGACTTGAGCGTGACGTGACAGTGATGTGTCTCATGTCAAGCCTCTGGCTAGAATCAACTCCACCGACCTGTCATGAGATGCATCAAACTTCACTTGAACGAGAACCAAACAAAAAGCTAAAGGTCTCATGACCTGAACTATTAAAAAGCTGGGAAATGAAAACACATGGGGAGATTTCATGATTTTTTGAATAATCATCAAGAACATCAAAGCTCATCACATATATGAAACAAATAAAACTTCCAAAGAAAGAAAATTAGCACAAACAAAGATTCTTTCAACAATTTATTAGCATTTAGGGAAATCATTTCACGTATTTCTGAAACGGTGTGTTTCTGGATACCTGTAGATTATGGTATACGGTTAGTGGTGTACCTGATCGGATATTTGCACAGACTGATAACCAGATAGATCAGATATATTTAGTTATTGTAACATGGTATACTGTAATTTTGAAATGTGACACTCTATTATTTTGATTTTTCAGCCGCACTGGCCTTTCAACCTACATTATGCAGATATGTTCAATAATTTTAGTTCAGTCTACCCAAAGTGTATTTGCCAAACACAGAACAGCTGCTTCCTGATCATACACTTTTAAAAATGAAGCATGAAGAAACTTTCCATTAAGCAGAAGGTTCTCTATAATGGAAAATGTTCTTAATAATAATAATAATTATACTAATAAAATAATAAAATATATTAATAATATTTTAAAACAAAAATATAAATAACTGTTTATATATATATATATAGTATAATTATATTATTAACAAATACTATTTTACTACATGTATGTATGTGTGTGTATATATATATATATATATATATATATATATATATGTATGTATGTGCGTGTGTTAGACATAAATAATACATAACCAGGGTTGGGGGTAACGCATTACAAGTAACGCAAGTTACGTAATCAGATTACTTTTTTTTCAAGTAACTAGTAAAGTAATGCATTACTTTTTAATTTATAAGAGAATATCTGAGTTACTTTCTCAAATAAGTAATGCAAGTTACTTTTTTTTTCAGTTTATTGATTGACGGCTCTCCTGTCCCCATGTCGAGAGAAATCAGATGTTACAGTAGTTCTAAAATAAACATGAATATGCATTGATTCATCTCACTCACAAAAAAAACACACACAGATTCAGTATTCCTCAAAATGAATAAAAATAATGCAACTCAGAATATGACGCAAACCTGCAATAATTAAATGTTAAACAACACAAATATGCTTTATGTATTTATTCCCAGTCTATTAACAATGTCTTTGCTTCTGAGCTTCAATGATTCAGTTCAACTGTACTAATAAGCACAAATTACTCTAGACGAACATTTATCTTGATTTATTTATTTTTTCTGAACAAAGTATGTTAAAAAAGTAGGCCTAGTTAATTTGATTTTACATTCATTTTATATGAAGTTCGCCATATTTTCAACACATTTCCAATATTTTCGACATCTCTCAGTACAGTTTACAAACATATGTCATTATTTGCTGGCAATAAGCAAACATTATGTTTAGTTTGAATGTTATAATTAAAAATATGGCAAAATGGGCAAAAGGGGAGCATATTTAGCCTCACTCAGTAAGGGACCAAAAGACATTTGGGACCTTGTTGATTGGCAGTTGTTAATAAACTACAATACACATTAGTTCGCACAACAATAAAAAATATGTTTTTGATCATTTTTTAAAAACAGTCTCTGGTTATCAGGGGGGAATGAGCTTGAAAAATGTTTAAAAAATATTTACTTCAAATTTATCTATTTAAAATAAAAAAGTGTATTTATTTCAAATGTATGTAAATTCATTTATTTACATGATGTGAAACGATATGGTTCGTCTAATATATCTGGCATGTTCACTCTCATGTAATTTGTGAAAAGTGCCTTATATTTTTACATTAATATCATGTCTTTTTTACCACAGCAAGTTTTTCCACAGACGTCCCCATCCCAATTCATCAGACCAGCATGAGCTGTTGAATCTCCAACACTGTCTGTCTAAAACCGCTTCAGTGATTTGGAGAACCGCGGGTTTGGATCACGAGACAAGCACACAACTATTGAGGACCATCTGGGTATATTCTGCAGTTTGTAGAACATAAGATCTGGGATCTTATTCATCACTCTTGTTTTTGCTATTATTATCTTTGTATTGATGTTTTTGTCTCATAATAAGGATTTCAAGAAGATTAACATCATGTGCAGTTGCTCAGAAAGATTTTTAAATGCATCTCTGTTGCAACAACAAGCATAATCTTCACAGAACAACACCAGTGGGCTCTTTATGCAGTGCAAGGTAAAAACTGACTATGCCATGATGCAGTTTAATGCCTGAAACACTAGATGGTGACAAAACATTTAAGACGAACAACCGTCATCAGTTTTGATGCCTGCAAAACTTAGCCAGTTATGAGACTTGATTAAGCACATGCACTGTATGTGGGTATCCAGTCAAATTAATTTGACAAAAGTAATGATAATATGAATCCATGACTGATGGCATGACATGAGTTACATTTTGGGCTCTGTTCAGAGATCATTGAAACAAACTGCCCTTGAGCAAACTCACCTAAATGACTCTCATAGTGGCATGCACCTGCAAGACAGAAAATTAGATGATAGGCACAGCTGGAGAAAACTACTGAAACAGCACACAAACACACCACACGCCAGCACCATCTGTGACTGGCATCTGCAAACATCTCAGCTGTCCATTTAATAATGATGATTTAATCTGTTCAGTTGCTGTTGTACTTATGCATCTTTACACTAAAACCAAACATAGTTCTGCACTTAAACCCCTTAAACATACAATGATTCTCTGTATTCATGATTGCTTTCGCGTCTCGCTGCTGTAGCATAAATTGGACAGCTCAGATCTGACATTGGTTTGATGTAGATAATGGCTAGTTAAAAAAAATGAAGAGTCAGCCATCATTTCATGCATCATTCCTGCTCAAATGCACATTGAACACAGCATCAGTGAGGGTTAAAAATAGTGCTTGCCACCTTTGAAAGTGTTAATGCATTTGCTGTTCTGTTAAGATTAACATATTATAGCATTACACAATTCTAATATTCTGATCAATACCTAAGAGCACTTCTGGCATGCATCGCTGAACTTGAAGCCAGGGCATCACACTTACTTTAGTATGTCACAGTGAGGAGAGTCAATCTCACAAAAACTGTCAAGAACATGTCTGCATAATATTACAAAATCCCCCAAACAAATAAATAAACAAACAAATGAATGGATGATAGTGTGCAGTAATGCAAAAGTCCTCAATGGAATGAATTTAATGTAAATAAAACAATTATGTATTATTGAAATTATGAAAAATTGTATGTGATAATGTTAGTTTTTGCTTAATGTATGCTCATTTTAATTGCAAAAATCATTGTGCCCAGACAGGATAATTGTCATTAATGAGAATTTTGGAGTTAAATGTACATAGTTGTAATGAAAATAATGTTAAAATGCAAATTTGATGATTAAAAACATATCTTTTTTGATTATTAAAATGATTAAAAATGTATTATATGTCCCCCCCACCACACAGGAATAACAGGAATTGCAGGACTTACACTGCAAAAAAAAAAAAATTCTAATAATAAATAAAAAATTCAAACAGAAAACACTTTAATTTTAAATTGTAATATTTCACAATATTTTAGTTTTTAAAGTAATTGCAGCCTTGGTGCACATAAGACTTTAAAACAGAAAAAAACAATTTAATAAATAAATACAGACATACATTCATACATAAAAGTAATGTAATGGACTTAATTTAGTCATACTTTTTCATTTTTTTGTATGTTTAAATATATGGTCACACTTTATTTTAAGGTCCAATTCTCGCTATTAACAAACCAATAACTACGACTTTTGCCTCAATAAACTCCTAATTTGCTGTTTATTAATAGTTAGTAAGGTAGTTGTTAAATTTAGGTATGGGGTCGGATTAGGGATGTAGAATATGGTCATGCAGAATATGTGCTTTATAAGTAACAGCCAATATGTTAATTAAAGGCATGCTAATAAGCAACATAATAGTGAGAATTGGTCCCTATACTAAAGTGTTACCAAATATGTTTATATATGGAATATGTTCCAAATTGTATATATCATACTTAGGATTAACATGGTATTCAGTATTTTATGCTTTAGTTGTGAATCGTGAAAACAAAGGTAAAGCAAAGAAAAAGGAAAATTGTGATAAGTGCAGGGAAAGTATCTGTCAGCCCAACAAAATGAGAGCGAATCACAGAAACAGAAGGAAAGGGAGAGACATCAGGGGTGGAGAGATGTGTATGATATAGCAAGGAAGGATGAAACATAAAGAGAGGGAGGGAAAATAGAGAGCAAAAGAGTGAGACTGAAAGTGAGAGAGACCATGCTGTTAGGTAGACAACAAGCCTCAGTGTCTCTCTTGCCATGCTTGGACTGGCAATGTTCTGGACTAAGCCACTCTTCATACCGTACGGGAAAAACATTTGAGAGAGAGAGTGAGTGAGTGAGTGAGTGTGTGTGTGTGTGTGTGTGCAGCCTGAATAAGTGAGGGCAGCCCAATGCACACCACACCTCTGCAACTGTCCGTCTGAACTGTCTTTACTCCTGTGTGGATGCGTGTGTGAGTGTGAACGCACATTTCTCCATCAGCGTGTGTCTGTATGTGTGTCAGACGCTGGCTTGCTCTGCACCGGGTCTCTCTGAGCTCCAGTCTCTTCGCACTAGTGCTCTTTCTGCCTCAGTCTGAGGACGGACGCGTTCTATCGCCTCTCCTGCTGGAGTTTGGCCGCTGCTGCTTTTGCCCTGGAACACCTTTGGCCTCCATGAGTGCATCTGAGGAAGTCCAGCCTCTCCCTGGAAGGTAAGACCATCCTGGAGTGTCACAGGCGCAGGGAATGTTTTATCTCATGCTTGTTTTACTGAAATCAGAGGCTTTTCCACTCGAAGTTCCTCTGGGACAAATTTCAGGATGCAATCTTCTGTTTAATGTGCAAAGCATATTATTGTTCAAAATGTAAGAGCTTACATTCTTGCATTGAATATATTTGATAAAAAATACAGCAAAAACAGTAATATTGTGAAATGTTATTACAATTCAGAGTTTCCCTGATGCCATTTGTCTGCTTCTTTATTATGTGCAAAGCAAAATTAGCCCAAAATGTACAGTAAGAGCTTGCGTTCTTGCATTGAATTTTGAAACTATTTGATAAAAAAATTAAATACAGTAAAAACTGTGATATTGTGAAATATTGTTACAATTTTAATTATTTTCTTTTTGAATATATTTTAAAATGTAATTTAAACTGAATTTTCAGCATAATTACTCAAGTCTGCTCTGTTATATGGTGCAGACAAATATAATTATATCAAATGCGTGTGTGATTTATGATAATAATTCAAAATTAATTGTATGAATTACTACTGTATGCCTAATCATTATTGACCCTGGACCACAAAACCAGTCTTAAGTGTCAATTTTTCAAAAAAAATTGAGATTTATACATAATCTGAAAGCTGAATAAATAAGCTTTCCATTGATGTACATAGGACAATATTTGGCCGAGATACAATTATTTGAAAATCTGGAATCTGAGGGTTCAAAAAAATCGAAATATTGAGAAAATCGCCTTTAAAGTTGCCCAAATGAAGTTCTTAGCAATGCATATTACTAATCAAAAATGAAGTTTTTACATATTTACAGTAGGTAAATTTGTAAATTTACAAAATATCTTCATGGAACATGATCTTTCCTTAATATCCTAATGATTTTTGGCATAAAAGAAAAATCTATAATTTTGACCCATACAATGTATTTTTGGCTATTGCTACAAATATACCCCAGCGACTTAAGACTGCTTTTATGCTCTAGGGTCACATTTTGTTAGATAATACTGGCCTGGTTCAGAGCTTAAAAAAACTGTATATATATATATATATATATATTGGCATTGCAAAGTATTTAGGTTGTGCTTAATTCCCTAGACAAATATTGTAGGTTGTTCATTATGTGCTGCAATGACTTGCACATGATATGTTCCTTCAGTCAAATGGACATTCTGGCATCTAGCCTGGACGTCGTGACACAATGATAGCAAACTGCTTCCTGACTGCTGACGTGCGTCACCGTCTCCTATACAACTATACTTTGAAAGCTTTATATTTAGCCAAGAGTTGTTCAGAGCACAAAAGCTTTCTTAGATCCTGATTTAAACGTGAAGATGGCTCTTATAGGAAAAGCAAATCTCCCCACGTCAGAAGACTAATTTGAAAGTAATAGGCTGGATTGGCTCTGCTGGAATGTGATGTACACTTTGTAGGCAACCACTAGTAAGGGCCCCAGGCTGAACAGTTCTACTTGAGTGTATTCATTTGTACCACACCTCAAGGCTTGATTTGGTAAGATCAGAAGATAGCAGTGTTCAGAGACCTGTAGATATCTAAACAGGGCATAGATCACTTGGGAACAGACCTAACAGGCATTACTTTGAGCTCATCATACAGTACATATAGTCACCTTCACGCTGCTCCAAACGTTGTTGCTTCCGTGGGACAAAAAAATTAGATGTTTAGCAAAATCTTTAAGCTGCTCTTTTCAGTACCCTTCAGTTCTTTATGAGGAGCACAAGAACCAGTGATGCAACAAAGGGGAAGTTTTTCAGCAAATAATGTAAAATGTAAAACTTTACACTCTATTTTTGTGAGCTTTGTCCAGGATCAGAAATGAACTTTTCCATTAAGGGCCAATATTTGCCCCTGAAAGGGCAGTTTTCTGTAAGAGTAGGTTTTATAATTACCTTATTAACTCTTTCCCCACCACCGGATGAATTTTCCGGCAGTCCATGTCTTCATTGTTATAGACCTTATGTAGCTCCACCCCTTTTCAGCACTGCTTTCATTGACTTCTGTCTTCCGTTTGTACTTCCACAGCGTGAACGTAAGGTCGTATGAATTTATGAATTAATCCCGTTTGTATTACTGTGAAATATTATTACAATTTAAAATAACTGTTTTCTATTTGAATATAAATAAAAATGTAATTTATTCTGGCGATCAAAGCTGAATTTTCAGCATCAATATGCTGATTTGTTGCTCAACAAACTTAGTATTATCAGTGTTGAAAATAGTTGTGTAGCTTATTGAGGAAACCGTTCTTTGATTAATTCAAATTTCAAAAGAACAGATTTCCACTTGTTTTTAGAGTATTAGTGTACTGTCTGCTTAATATCTGATAACACTTTATTTTGATTGTTCCCAGCTGGTTCTCCTGGCATGAGTTTTGTATTATGGGATGAAAATTAAAGGAGAAAAACAGAATATGGGTGATCTTCTTTCTCAATACCCCACTTCCGTGAGATGTTTGTGGCTGCCAAGCAGTGGCGTAGGCAGAATTTAATTTTTTTGGTGGGCCTGGGCAAAAGTGAGTGGGCCTAGTAGCCTAACTAACGGATGGAGCTGGACTCAATATTCAGGTCATTTCAATGTTCTTTTCATTGAAAAATAAATTGTAGAACACAGTGGAAGACACACACAGTAAAACTACCACGTCTCTGTCACTGTCATGAATGTACTGTCATGAATGTACCCATTGCCAACATAACCTAAAATCATTCACAATAGCCCCAATCCCTAAAAACTGTTCCAGTCTACAGTAGGTTAATAAAACTGTGAAACTGTGTAGAAAGAATCTCTCACGCCAGGTCACTAATACACGTCTGCTGGACACTGGGAAAACGTACCCATACCACTTGGAACAGGAACGTTGCGGAAGCCCCATTCTTCCCGAAGGAGGTTTCGGAAGCACTTACACATATGAACAACTGTTTAGGTGCATATGGAAGATTAGAGGTGATTATAACCCTCTTGGAAATGGCAGAAGTCTGCCGGGGAAACACAGGCTCTGAGGCTATACTGTGGACTTTACACATATGGGATCCACTTAGGCCTCTACATATGGAACCCAGCCCTCTACCGGTTCTCAGAGCTCGACAGGGTCTACAGTACGGACACTCTGGAGCAGTAAACCAGATTGTGCATTCACCATCCCCCAAAGAGCAGGGGGTTGACGCAGGGGCCCGCCCTCGACAACGAGCAGGCTGGGGCACTGCGGCCAGCTGGAGGCAGCAGCTGCCCACCGGAGTAGGACATGTCGGATCGCCTCAGTCTGCTCCTGTGCACCCGAGACCTGCTGGGCTATGTTTTCGACTGCATCACCGAAGAGGCCGGTCTGGGACACAGGGACCTTGAGAAACTGAACTTATTGGCATCCCTCATGTCGACCAGACACAGCCCGAGGTGACGCTCCTGGACCACGAGTGTGGACATCGCATGACCCAGAGAACTCGCAGTGACCTTCGTTGCTCTGAGCGCAAGGTCAGTTGCGGTTCGGAGCTCTTTCAGAACTTCCGGATTGTGAGGGACCACCCTCGTGCAGGTCCCTCAGTGCTTTAGCCTGAAGAACCTGCAGTAATGCCGTAGTGTGTAAGGCGGAGGCAGCTTCTCCACAGGCCACATAAGTATCGCTAGACAGACCAGACGAGTACCTACAGACCCGGGAGGGGAGTCACAGTTTGCCCTGCTGGGTGGAGGCGGTATTAGGAAACTGCATCGCAACCGACCGCTACACCGTTTTGTCCAACCTTGAAGGCTTGGGACACGGTGGAGGTCTCCACTCAAGCCCTAACCTCACGGCGGGCCGGGAAAGCATAGCTGTCATTTCCAGATCCAATTCAGGTATTGCTACAGTCCCGGAGAGCAGCAGCGCAGCCGAATCTTCATGCAGCGATTGACATCCGATCGTCGGGAGGAGCACCGAAGGATACTGCTGGTACGCTCCTTGTAGAGGGCCCAAAATGTTCTTTTGGCAGCTCAACTGGTTGCGGAGTGCAAGAGGAGCGATGGTCCCCCGAGGGTTGGTTCCCTGGGGGGTTTGCCATCACTGTTACCCTCAGACCGTCCGTGCTACTGCCTGAACTAGCCCCTGCCTCACTGCCGCCATGACGAGAACTAGATCGAGGCAGAGGCAGCGGAGCTCCGCCCCTTTTGAGGTAACGGAGCTTGGCCCGCAACTCCGAGATGGTCATCTTCCCACAATGAGAACATGACTCATCCACGAACACCACCTCAGCGTGCTTAATGCCCAGACATGTGAGGCAGCGATCGTGACCATCACCCGACACCAGGTAATGACCTCATCCAGAAACACACGGGGGATATGTTGTCTGTAGCAAGATGCAACGTCGTCTTTACAAAGACGCACCCCTGAATGCTCTTTTAGGCAAAAAGCTCTTTTAGTGTGCTGAAGCACACAGCGGAGATGGCCACCTGCAGCCCAAACAGGGGGTAGTGCAGCCTGATATGTGCAACCCACACGACATGGGAAACCACCACCGCTGAAGTGCCGTACCGCCAACACCAAGAGCTCCAAAGAGCGCACTGATCTCGTTCAGTCTTTTTCTCTCAGTAAAGTAGTCAGGAGCAAAATGATGTGATCGCTTGACTCTGAAGCGAAAAGCTGAGTATGCATTGCACCTGCTGCCTATACTCGTGCTGCAATCAGCAGCAGCTGGATGCAATCATTGCATGCCAATGACTGGCCATCGGGAGCACTGGGAGAGCACCTGGGCCCGCTGTCCAGTTTAAAAAAAAAATATTATTTATTTTATTAATATTATATATTATTGCCTGCCACATGTACCAAAGTGATCATTGCCAAGTTTGACATTTAATAATAAATCAATAACAAATCATGAATCGGTTAGTCAGCGCTGCAATTCTGCTCGTGTTTGTTGTGCACTTCAGTCAAACGGTTTCGATCAATAATGCGTGGGACTCAAGGAAGGAGAGGAAGTGGCCAGAATTAAGCAGCAGCAAATTGTAGCAAAATTACCTGTTCATCGCTTCAAGTGCAGATCAGTTTCATCTGTAAATAGGCTACTGTAGTTTTGTCTTTGTTAACTTAGTTAAGTATTAAACTGCTATCAAAAGTTTATCAGTAAGCATCCCATTATTATTCTCAGTCAGAATACTGTATGTTAAAGGACATCATTATTATCTATTGTAAACTTGCATTAATAAATTTAGCAGACAGATGTTCACATCGATTTATAGTAAAGGAGGGAGCTATAGCAGACAACAACACAAAAATATAATCATAATAATGCAATAACGTGTTCAGTATTATTTTTCTATAAACATATTGTACTAATTTTGACTTAGGCACTTTAGAATTTATTGTAAAATATTTATATAAATTATATGTTTGTTAATCTTGGGTATTAAAGTGATTTGAAGATAAATAACAACAATAACAGATTGTCTTAATGTAATATTTTGAATTTAACTAAAATTTAGATTGTGTGCAAACAAATTACAATGAGGTGGCTGTTTAGCAAACAAGGTGCATTTCTGTTCATAACAGTAGACACATGTTCTTCTGGTAAAGAAGTGACAGGTAGGCTACAAGAAAAGTATCCCCCCAAGTGAGAAAACAAGATATCAAGGAAAATAAAGAAACGGAAAAGGGAAGTGAATGTGCCATACAAGAGAGAATCTTTAATTATTTTGCACATCATTGGACAGATTTGGAGAATTTAGTACTAGATTTGACAGTGTAGAATGTCTGCAATGCTAATTTGATAATTCTGTTGTTCTGAATATGCATGTTGTGCTTTGGTGTTTGGACAGTTGTGTTAGTGTAAGTTGACAGCATCTGCCATTTCAGCTAAATGTCAAGTGCATTTCCAAGAGCTTCGTGCGTGTTAGATGAAGAACTTAATGGTAAACAAAATACTGTGCTGGTTTAAAGGGGTCATATGATGTTGCTAAAAAGAACATTATTTTGTGTATTTGGTGTAATGAAATGTTTATGCGGTTTAAAGTTAAAAAAACACATTATTTTCTACATACTGTACATTATTGTTTCTCCTCTATGCCCCACCTTTCTGAAACGTGACGATTTTTACAAAGACCATCGTTCTGAAAAACGAGGTGTGCTCTGATTGGCCAGCTATCCAGTGCATTGTGATTGACCGAATACCTCAAGCGTGTGACGGAAATGTTGCACCTCTACCATACTGTGATGCCGTGTCCCGGCTGGAGCGACGAGACAAAAATATTAAAACCCATTATAAACGAGGCATTTGTTGCATCAAGTGGGGACATAATTACAGATTATAATGATTCATACTGTCTTTTTACGCATTGCGAGAGGAGGCCGGCGGGCTTGAGAATGGCGCGGCCTGCGGGCTTGTGGCAACCACATGTGACGACCCCAGGCTGGACTCTG